CTCCCTGGCCACCTCTCTGGAGAAGTAAGGGCCTACCGATTGCTTGCTTTGAACACCCGCACTGCGTTTGCTGCAATTTTTGCGAGATGGGCATCCTGGGAGGGAAGACCCGGTTTGTGGCCGAGTCTTTCCCCCGATGTTGCAAGAATCAATGAATGGGTTGAATATGGACAAACTGGGTTCTGACTTCTGTGTTTTTCTTCCTCGATTTTAGCCCCAACATGCTGCTCTCTGGCAGTCGCGACAAGACCCTGATCATCTGGAACCTGACCCGCGACGAGCAGGCCTACGGTTACCCCAAGCGCAGCCTTGAGGGTCACTCTCACATCGTCTCTGACTGTGTATGCCTCCCGAAAAACCCGCCCCTGAAACCGAAGAACGCCCACCCCCGCGAGCGGGTGAGGGGGGGGGTTGCGTGCATGGAATGATGGGCTGACCGGCCGTGCTACTACAGGTGATCTCCTCCGACGGTGCTTACGCTCTGTCCTCCTCCTGGGACAAGTCCCTCCGCCTGTGGGAGCTCTCCACCGGTGAGACCACCCGGACTTTCGTCGGCCACACCAACGACGTCCTCTCCGTTTCCTTCTCCGCCGACAACCGCCAGATTGTCTCCGCTTCCCGGGACCGCTCCATCAAGCTCTGGAACACCCTCGGTGACTGCAAGTTCACCATCACCGACAAGGGCCACACCGAGTGGGTGTCCTGCGTGCGCTTCAGCCCCAACCCCCAGAACCCCGTCATCGTCTCCGCTGGCTGGGACAAGCTCGTCAAGGTACGTGTTCTCGCTCTTTCTCCTTTATATCACACCCCATTCGATTGTCCGCATGATGTATTGCATATTCTACGTATTTGCTACTTCAGAGCTTCGGCCATGAGACAAAAAATCACCAATGCCCTGATGGACACTACAATCTTATTTTGTTTTATCAAACTCAACGAGAGAATTCGTGTGGCACATGGCTAACACGATCAATCAACAGGTTTGGGAGCTCGCTTCCTGCCGCCTCCAGACCGACCACATCGGTCACACCGGATACATCAACACCGTCACCATCTCCCCCGATGGATCCCTGTGCGCCTCCGGTGGCAAGGACGGCACCACCATGCTCTGGGATCTCAACGAGTCCAAGCACCTCTACTCCCTCCACGCCGGTGACGAGATCCACGCCCTCGTCTTCTCCCCCAACCGCTACTGGCTGTGCGCTGCCACCGCCAGCAGCATCACCATCTTCGACCTCGAGAAGAAGAGCAAGGTTGACGAGCTCAAGCCCGAGTACATCGAGAAGGGCAAGAAGAGCCGCGAGCCCGAGTGTGTCAGCTTGGCCTGGAGCGCTGACGGCCAGACTCTGTTCGCTGGTTACACCGACAACAAGATCCGTGCCTGGGGTGTTATGTCGAGGGCATAGATGAGAGGTGGAGGAGAGTCAAGATAACTCATTTCTGTTTTTCATCTTTTCCAAAAAGGGCAGGCATTGGTTGGGATGTATGAGCCATGAGCAATGAAGCACCCTGGGCTGTCCGGCCCGGGGTTTTTCTCGGACATGTCTAGCTTACTTGATTCGTCATAAAATCCGAAATGTCTGGAATCTTGTGAAGGATGGCATGCATGTTCTAATACCATTTAAAAGACTGTTAAAAAAATATCCCAAACATCACGCCCGTAGACTTCCATCTGCCTATGTACCATCTATGTCTTGCCTATTTATCTTTTACCATCTCGTATCATACATGCTGTCTGGAAATACTCTTTTCATGCTATCGTGTACATGTCCCTCCCTGTCTGTAGTTGATTATCCAATTCAAATCACTTGTCCCATGTCCATCATCACATCATTGCTTCACATTCTCCAACTCATCCAAGGCCTTCGTCAGCGCTTCGCCGACCCAGTCCGCATCGAGATCGCCGTCCACTACCTTCTTGGCTTCCGTGAAATGCGCAATCGCTTCCTCGGGCTTGTTCTGGAACCGAGCCAGCTCCCCCAACGTCATCAATGCCGAGCAGTAGGACATCTTCCCCTCCGCATCCCCCGCATCGTCTAGATTGTCCAGCCCCCGAAAAGCCTCGATGGCCTTCCCCGCCCACTTGCGCGCCGCCTCGATGGCATCCTCCCGCGACACGCCCGGATCCTCCAGGGGACGGGGCGACATGGCCTGGTCGGCTACACAGGCCGCGATGTCGCTGAGGAGGGTGACCTGCTTGCGGGAGGGATTCTCGCCCTCGTCGGCGCGGACCAGGTCCAGCGCGCGGAGGAACAGCGGGCGGGCCAGCTCGGACTTGCCCTGGGAGGTATAGGTGTGGCCCAGCTCGGTCAGCGCCGTGGCGATCTCCCCCAGATTCATCCAGGTATCATCCTGGCCACCGCCCACCGGCAGCCCCAGACTATGCCGGCGGTTCATCTCCTTCAGACACACCTGCACCGCAAACATCTGCATCAGCTCCGCCTTCTTCGCATCCTGCACATGATCGCCCTGATACAGCTCCGCCAACTTGATCGATATGCCCACCACCTTGCGCAGCACCATATAAACCCGCCGCGTCTCCTCCCTCTCCTCCGCCTCCTTCGTCTGCTGCAGCGTCGCCGCATCTGCATCCGCCACCTCAGCCCCCTCCTTATTCCCCTCCTTCTCCTCGCCCTTACTCACGACTTCCTCCTTCCCCTCCAACTTCTTGCCTCGTGGACCAGCATCCTGCTCCTCCTGAAGCACCATCACCCCCTGCCCCTCCGTCGACCGCTCTCTCGCCTCGGCAACATACGACAACGCTCCCTGCAACGTACTCTCCAACACCTGGATCGACGCCGGCACCAACCCGGCCATCTCCAACATCATCGCCGTCTGCACCCGGATCCCCAGCACCTCCTCACAGTACGGGTGCATGCCCAGCTCGAGCGCCAGCGCCTGGGCCTCCTGATACGCCTTGGCCGCCTTCGCCGGGTTCAGGTTCAGCTCCGTGTAGTACACTGCCGTGCGCAGCCGCTCCGCCACCGGCGCCGGGTACCTGCTGTACTTCGGGGTGTTTTCTGTCACCTCGATGTAGGCGATGTAGCTGAATAATCCCGTCGCCGTTATGATGGACAGGATGGCAAATGGGAGGGCGATCGGGTTGCGGCGCCAGATGTCTTTCCGGGACGCTTGGTAGCCTTGCTTTATACGTTGGGCGTAGGTTAGTTGGCGGGTGGTGGTCGTGGTCGTGGTCGTGGGGAGGGAGTTGGGTTTGAGAAGAGGGGAGGGACGGAGAGGCGTGGATTTGCAGGCCGTGAGGGTCGTGAGGGGGTGGCGACTGTGGTGTTGAGCATGAGCATGAGCATGAGCATGCTGGTGTGTGGTGGTGGTTCGGAGGGCGCTGGCGGCGCGCCGGGTTGCGGTGCGGAACATTGTGTGGTTTGCTTTGCTTTGCCTTGTTTTGCTTTTTGGGATTGGCCGAGGAGTGGACGGTATATATGGCGGTAGGTACCGTATCCGTAGTCGTGACAGGTAGGCAATCTGATGGGTGGTAGAAAAGAGACCCAATGGATGGAACGGACGGACGGACGAGGGAAAAGGTGTCGGCGCAGAAAAGACGGATGCAAGCAGATCGGCGGAGGTGGTCCGAGCTTCCTTCGCTCTACTGTGATTTTCCGTCTCTGACGTCGAACCCTACTTACTTTCTTACCAGATGGCTCTATAATGAGCCGGTTTAAAGTCCTGGGGCTCTGTAAATAATCTTTCAAATCATCCTTACCTAGTTCGCATAGTAGAATGTAATTCGTCATCAACAATAGTCATGAAGAATAAGTTCTACCACTTATTTACATCTAGATGGCGGCATTTTTAAGATAACTGGCCTTGCTTGTTTCGAGACATGTAGGGACATGGGTACTCCGTTTCGGCCACAACAACAACCCTTGGAGATCTTGGTATAGTTGGGTCGGAGAGAAGGGCATGGTGGCAGCAGCCCAGCTTTCTGCAAGGTGTAAAATCAGCCTCGCCGTGGAAATTGACGAGCGGAGGATACGTACGCTTGGGTATTACTGTAGGATTTTGTACTATGTTGGTTCCATCGATGCACAACTCCACGGAAGCCGGTAGCCGAGCCGATGTATACGTGTTGATCCGAGGTAGACGTGTCACCGGCGACTACTAGTGAAAGGTAGACTCCTGGGTTATGGGTTGGCGTAGTGTCTAAGGCCAGAAGGTCTCTAAAGCGTGGAGCGTTGGTACTCCCAAGCAACGCTTTGAAATCTTCTCGGGTTATTTGGAATATAAAATTCAACCAGTAGTCAATATTGGCACAGGAATCACCTAGCTGTTGGAGAAATGATCGGAAGAGTGCCGACAACTGAAGCGAATGATCACGGCCGCTGTAATCCGGAGAACAGACAGGTCTAAGCAGAGGCTCTGAAGTTAGTAGGTAAGCAGCTAGCTAGGTAGGATATCCTGTGGAGCCTAAGGAAAGAATAATAAACCCAAACATAGGCCTTCTGGCTAGCCACCGAGCAAGCGGAGTCGGTATTAGATCAGGCTTTCAGTATTCACTGCTATGAGCTATATCGGGCACTAGTACTAGGATCTTGTTTGCCTGCCTCTGCTTGTGCCTGTCTAGTACTTATACGCCTCTGCATAGCTACCTAGGTAGGCACTGCGCTCCGGGTCTGTTACAGTAATGCTTACGTGTAGTAGTAACTTGAATTTATCTACATGGGAGCGAATTCAACCGTCAGGAACTTAATAGAGACTTCACCTGAAGGTTGCCAGCTGGGCAATCTGAAAGAAATATTGAGCTTGCTATTCAAGAGTTTTGGTCCTGAGGAGACGTTCCTGTTTCTTCTCTTTTTTTTTTGGTCTAGCAAAACATAGGAATTTTAAGAGTATATCATTGAAGACAGGAACTCTGTTCCGCACCGTTGTCCTAATTAGGCTAATTAACAAATTTCCATGCTTCGTTCATCACTGCCACCACCCAGCAATAATACTCTTACCAGCTGAGTACTAAAGATATAAAATGGCAAACACTAATGTCCGCTCGACTGGCCCAGTGGTTAAGGCGTCTGTGTATGTTCTACTTATCACTCACTAGAAATGGTCCACCGCTAACATCCTCCCTTACAGCTTACACACAGAAGATCCTCGGTTCGATCCCGAGGTTGAGCATAATTTTTTTGTCCACTTCAATAGTTCCAAACATCATTTACAATGGTGTTTTTCTAATATGCTGGACGTGCCAATTTTTTTTTTCTTGCGATCTTGCTAGGAGTAGAAGGAGAGAAGACGAGTTGCAGGGTGTTGCTGGAAAGCGACTATAATCCAAAACTTTGATAAATAAATGGCAAATTGTTTGGAAGGACCTATCGAGCTTTCCAGGCCGTGATCCTAGATACAGGAACTAGGATGACAACCCCGCACATCGGAATACAATCGGAGACTGAACGTGTGACAGTTGAGCATAGTCGTCCGACTCCAATTAGGCTTAGCATGTCTAGCGGGAAGAAACTGAAAGGGCTACAATTAAAGTAAAAGCCACTTCATTGCAGCCACTGCACAATGAGCCTCTGACCTCGTTGCATCTTTAAATCTTTGAATATTGATATCCAGGGTATGATCCCCGCAGCAAGACACCCGAGGCGGGGGATCCCAAGAAACAGAAGATCGGCCTGAGTATGACCCTCCCGAAGACTCTGCGACAGAGTACATGGAATGCTGCTACTTTCGGTAATCTAGGCATATTGCAGACTGTTTGACTGTCCAGCAGTTCGATGGAGACGGAGCTATTCCACAAGCAGTATAACACACCATGGCTATCGTACAAGGCTCAGCTAAGCTCCTACTGAGCTTCTTGCTGGCGTAGTCGCTGGACCAACTTTTCTCTCAGGAATGGACTCAGCCCGAAACTGGTTCCGTCAGTACTGGCCAAATAATGATAATGGGTAGACTTACATTCCGTCCCGGGTCACAATCCGATAGGTACCTTTTCATGTCAGATTTAGTCCTCCAGAATCTATTATGCATACATACCGCTTGATTGATAGTTGCCATTACCTCCCACAAAGCTTCCGTTGGCATCGACCTCAAGACTTCCGAAGATGTCCTCGGGCCTGTCACATCAGTATAGCTTTTACCCCGCCCAGAAGTGTACATACCAAGCAATTCGACCAAAATCCGGCGGCCGTCTGCTATCAGACAGATGAATCCAGCCACCTCTCCCAGCCGAGCCCACACCACCCTGACCACTGGCTCCACCACTGGAGTCATCCCTTTCGCCGCGCCGCCTTCTCACCCGCCCACCCGCCAACAGCACCCCCCCAGAGTTCAGGTTCGCGCCAGCCGTAGAGATCATCACCTGAGCCTGGGAGATGGCATCCGGATCTTCGTGTCCGTGCTCCGTCACCACGTCTTGAAGGACTTTCAGAAAGGCCGGGTTCTCTCTAAATGAGTCCGGCGTCGGAGGGAGCTTGGAGGTGACACCAAGCGCGAGGTTGGGGTTTGTGGGTTCGGAGGGGAGCAAAGAAAGGACATGGGCTCCGTTTTGGGGGAAGACATACTAAGGCTAGATTAATGCGACGAAGAAAACCAGCCATTCAAGTTCAAAATATACTTACAATGTGAGGGTTACCCTCCAGGGTGGACACAGATCGGAATTGCGTCCACCGGGGAGTTTGGCGGACGAACGATCTCAGACCAAACATACTGAGAGAGCCGCCGATTGCGATCAGGATCTGGAGATTGGAGATTGGAGACTGGAGATGGATGGATTGAAGCTTCGACTGGGCGATGACGATGGCCGGGCAAACAGAGCAAACTCATGTGACCGCGCGTTTGCGGCGGCGGCGGAAGTAGCGAACAAACGAAGTAGAGGCCGGCCGAGCTGTGTTTCTCCCTCACGACTAAGCCCAGGTGGACTCGGGATTGCTGCTGCGATGGAGGTATTTTGAATCCCATCTGAAGAAAGCAGTGGCCGTGCATATACTCTCCGCGTTTACTGATCGGGCCCTCAAGCGATGAGGCCGGGTTGATTGCAGTCGCTGGCGTTGATTATCCTCATTGTCCCATTGCATTGTCTCATACGTGATACCCACTTTTGGCGTCTGCTTGAGCTCTGTAAATTTGCGATCCCGCGTGGACATACTTATTCTGCTCTTCCTGAATTTTGACAGCCACCATGGCCACTCCGTCGTCCAAGCAGAATCCGGGTGCAACCCCGACGCACCTGACATCGTCCCCTCGTCTACATATGGCCCGACCGATCGCGCACAAGTCGCCGTCCACAAGGACCCCGTCAGCGTCTGGCCATGCGCTCAACCTGCCCACCTCGACGCATCAGTATGCTACCCCCCTCGCTGCGACGGCCGGCGCCGACGAGGCCGTGACTTTCAGTTCACCTACTGCTCTCCTTGCACTCGGTGGCTATAGCGGCATTAGCCCGTCTCCTGCTGGCCACGATGGCCTTGTCGGCGCAGCTATGAACGACAACGACATCCAGGCATTGGGCATGCAGGGTCTGAAGCTGGGAGGAGCTCGGGACAGCGACGAAGAGCGCAGGCGGCACATTGAAGACGTGGTTCAACTACTCAGGACCCGTGTATCGGGTCGGGGCGTGTGTAGGGAGGGGATCGAGCGGCTGGGAGAGCTCGAAGGGTTCGAGTCGATCTGGCAGGAGGACAGTCTTAGCATTGCGGGCAACTTCGTCGATCTGGAGATCGACTTCCACCGAGGCTTTAATGTCGTGAAGGACGTCAGTTTGAAATATGCAACCCCCGAAGCTACGGACGGGGAACGGAGAGACGAGGCGACGGCGGTTCTCAAGCGCGACTTGATTCAATCCCCCGAGGAAGGGGAGCGGGGCGCCTGGAAATCGCTCAGCGGATTCCACGAGAATCTCCAGTGGCTTGCCAAGCATGACCGACTCAGCCAGGAAGTCAACTGTTTTGAGGCGATCGAGGGTCTCTACGAGAGTTTGAAGCGCGTGTGGGATTGCGAATGGAACCGTCGCAAATTTACAGGAGTCTACGATCATCTTTGCAGTGGTTGGGTTGGTCGACCGTGTCTGCATAAGGGGGGCCGCATTGGACTTGGTTTGGACTATTGGGTGCAACAGGCACGTGTCTTGGATGTGAAACGGAAGAAGTCTACCGACGAGATGGTCGTTGATCAACCAAATGGCCAGCTGTCGGATGACGAGTCGGGCTTGAATGGGAAATGGAGTGTTGTTGTCGAGTGCGAGGAGGGGTACCCGTCTCTTCGCGTGTCCAAGGACTGGGTTGGGTCTGAAGCCCTTACGGGGGCTAATAACGAGAATGGGCCTTCATCGAGTGAAGCTGTGGAGTCTGATGCTGCAGTGGTTAACTGGATCGACCCGCCAGCGACGTTAAGTGCCGGCAATCAAAACCACTCGGATGAGATGGCCCTTGATTCGAACATGCTCGGCTCTGCACCCAACCGTCGGTTTGTCGCGCGGATGGAGCCGCCTCTGGATCTACCGATCTTGGCCGCATCGGATATCTACCGGCACCTGGGCATTCAGATGCCGCAGGAGTTCAAGATGGTTACCTACGACGGACTGTTGGCTCCGGGATGGTCGCCATTGTCGGCGGCGGGGGCCATGGGACTGGGTCCCGAGGAGGCATCTCAGCTTGGTCGGAGAAGGCGCAGAATGTCCGTACGGGCGATGGACAGCGAGGGCAAGTCGTGCACTAAGCACCACAGCTATACCTTCCAACCTTTCGAGTCTGTTGCTGGCCGAACCATGAGAGATATTCCATTCTCCCATCCAAGACAGCTTGCCGACATTCTTCCGGTAAGATCTGACCGTAGAAAACGAAGATCAGGTGGTGCTAACACATGCTACGATTAGATTCTGCGGCAGTATGCGTTTCTAGCCAACCTGATCCGCAGCATTTTCGGCACCTCATTCAAACCCGACGAGAGCAAGGCCGATGCCCAAGCCGATCTATCCAAGAATCTTTCGGGTCCCCTTAAGTTCTCTAGGCCCGGGAAGGCCAAAAAGGAAAATGTCATCATCCTGAGCAATGATGATCCTAACGAGAAGAGGCTCGATGAACTGCTAAGGGGATTTGACAACGGTGTTTTTCCCGATGCGAAAGGCAAGGGTTCCGTGGTCAATGGCAGTTTTAACAGTGGGTTCGCTACCGACGATGATGTCAAAGTAGATGTGACACTGCGGACGCAGCTCGGACAAGCACCGGTGATCATGCTACTCTTTACCGTGGATAATACAGACGGGGCGCCGGAGCCGGTCCGGGGCGAGCCGACCCTTAGCAAAGTCTCGATCAGCCTTGAAGTTGGGCTGAACGGCCGGATCGCTGTGGTGGATATGACGGGGCTGTTAGACGATGATAGTTCCGGTGCGGACAGCATGGATCAAGCGGCCGATGGACAGAAGAGCGAAGCATTCGAGTTGCAGACCAAAATTGCACGGGTGCTGGAATTGTCCCAGGACATCGGGACGCTGGTGGAATGGATCCTACGATGGGCCCGGCAGCGAAAGGACCGCTGAAACGTCAGTCCCCGACGGTCTCCGGTCCGGCAGGGTGTCATGGTCAGGGCTGCAGAGTGGAGGCGATCTCATCCCCCGGGCCAAGCGATGGCGCAAGCTGGGATATCCATGATGAACGGCACTAACTCAACGTGGGGGTCTACCGGCCTCGAAGATTCGGCCGATGTTCTGGAACAGGCCGGCCCATTTTTCTGGACAGATGTCTGTGCAGGTCTGCATCGGTGGTCACACTCCATCGCTCCAGAGCTAATTGTAACACCCCGGTCATACCCCCGGCTGGGCCTGGCCGCATGCGATGCAATTTATGCTTAAGTTGTCGCGCTGGGACGGTTGGACACCCAGTCTTACGACTGACCCATGCCATGTGTCATGACCTCGCAGGAAGCGATCGATAAGGATGAGCCTGATCCCGGTCGCAGACAGCAGAAGAAGCACGAGACCGGATCGACGGTGATCTGCCCAGTAACGTGACTGCCTGCCAGGGATGTGGGAGTACCTGCAGGGCAAGAAGAGCCTCCGTCCCGGTCTAGATCAGCCCCTCTGAATAATAGGAAAGATACTACAGTACGAGTACTAGTTAGGTACCTAGATGCTAAGGTACTAGGTATCTAAGGTAGATAGCAACAATTGGCACACGGTA